TCCAGTGTCTGCCCTGTTTCTCCCTTCTATTGAGGGGGGATAAAAGAGAAACTTACGATCTGATTTGGGTTTTTTTCCCCTTTATATTTTGTTGTTGTTTATTTTGAATTTTGCTGTTACTGTGATCACTAATGGCTCCCGCTTTACTAAATTCTGTTTACTCTTCATTTCTCATGTTGATCTCTCAGCAGCATTTGATATGATTAATCACTTCTTCCTTGAAACTCCTTACTTGACATACAATAAATATTTGATTTTCCTCTTCAGTCTATCTGTTCCTTTTCAAGATTTTTTTCTTCTTTTTCTCCCTCCTCCCCTTGCTTATTTTTCTAAAAACACCTGCTAGATAAACTTAGCTATTCTTAGTACTCTAAAATATTTCTCTATTGCTAGTGTTTCCAAATTTATGTGTCTAGTTCAGACCTCGTCTCTGAACTCAAACACTTTATCTCCTAGCTGCAAATCTCCCCTTTAATATGTAATAGGTTTCTCAAGCTTAATGTCTAAAATGTAGTTTACTAACTGTGGTGATGATATATCCCTTACATGTACTATTCTGATAGTCACGTCATGCCAATTAATCTTATCCATATAGTTGTTTACCCTCAAATCTTAAGTCATCTTTGACCCCTCCCCCATTTATTTCATATTCTCTATCCACTATTGTCTAAAATATATTTATTATATAGCCACCATCACCACCTTTGTCACTATTACCTAGTCCAAGGCACTGTCAAGACTTGCCTGGGTTTCTGAGGTATTCTAACTGATCTCCTTATCTCTAACCTTTCTAATGAGTCTGTTCTTAACAGCTACTAGAGTAAACTTGTTAAAGTATTGTTTAAATTGTGTCATTCCTCTGCTCAGAATATTCCATGAAGTTCCCACTTGACTCTTGAGTAAAGCATGAAAACCCGCAGAACCATGGTTCTTACTATTCTTTTTGTTGATTGCACTCACACTGGCCTCCTTGCCTTGGAGCCTTTTACTCAAACTTATTTCCTCTCTTATAATGCACAACTCTACATGTATTTTTAAAAATATTTTGTTTGTTTTTATTTTATGTGTATGAATGTATTAGCTGCGTGTATGTAAGTGTACCTGTGTCATGCAGTGCCCACAGAGATCAGAAGAGGGCTTCAGGTCCCCCAGAACTGGAATTGTTATCTGCAATGTAGGTATTGGAAATCGAACTGGGTCCTCTGCAAGAGCAGTCAGTGCTCTTAATTACTGAGCCATCTCTCCAGCCACTCTACATGGGGCCGGCGGGGGGGATCTTTTTGAGACAGGGTCTCTCTGTAGTCCCAGCTAGCCTGGAACTCACTATGAGACAGGGTCTCTCTATAGTCCCAGCTAGCCTGGAACTCACTATGTAGACCAGGCTGGCCTTGAACTCACAGAGATCCGCCTGCCTCTGCCTCCCAAATGCTGGGATTAAAGGCCTGTGCCACCAAGCCTGGCCCTCTACATATATTTTAAAGTATATTTATTCATATCTGTAATTTAGGCTAACTTTTGAACTACTCTGGTTAGCATATTTACAGTTTGTAAAGTTTTTATGTAGAAATTTTTAATGAAATGAGAATCTATGAAAGTGTTCACCTCCAAAATGCCAAACATGTAACGATCCTGGCTTGGAAAGCATGACTGTTACAGCTTCTTCCCATTTGTGAAAATGAGGTGAATTTCTCACAGGTTTTCTGAAGAAAGAAAAACAAAACAAAGAATTGGGACCTAACAATGAGTGGTAATCTTTAGATCTTTTCATGGGAGGTCTTGGAATTAGTAGTTTATGGGTCATAGAAATGCCTTTGGTAACAGTTTCTCTGTCTACCCGGATCACACACTTTGTATAGAAGTCCCCTGCCTTATTGGTAATATTTCTAAGACCAGCAGAGGATGTTTGAAACTGGAGAGTGTAGAGCCCTTACGTATATTTTGTTTTTCTTATACATAGTTGTGATAACATTTAATTTATAAACTAGACATAAGAGGTTAACTATAATTACCATAGATCTTAGCCCAGAGGATGTTTGAAACTGGAGAGTGTAGAGCCCTTACGTATATTTTACGTAATTTATAAACTAGACATAAGAGGTTAACTATAATTACCATAGATCTTAGCAACCTCAGCATATAAGTTTTTCTTTAAGTTGATAGCTTTCACCTTTTCACTTAACAGAAGCACTGTATTGCTTCTCTTTGACATAACCCAATTGCCAGACTCACTGTTCTTGAGCTTTGGGGACATTAAAACAAAGTTGACTTGAAAACAAACTCTGATATCACTACAGTGATAGTTTAATAGCAGAGATGGTTACTGTATTTCTGATGGGTGGGAAGCCTATACAGTGTGGATACTCTAGACAAAGGTATGATCCTCTCTGGTTAGATGGAGCTAGATATTGAGAGAATTCATCATGCTATTCAGAACAATGCACAGTTTACAACTGATGAATTGTTTATGTCTGGAATTTCCATTTAATGTTCTCAGATTGCAATTGACCTTGGGTAACTGGAACTCTAGAATGTGAAACCACAGAAAAGAGGGGACTAACTACTGCACTAATTTTTCTTACTTGAGGGGGTACTATTGTACTACTTTTTCTTCATTCTTACCTGCTTTTCAGATGATACCTCTGTAAAAGAGAAGCCTGCTGAAAAAAGTAAAGAGAAGAAAGTGGTTAAACCAGTACGAAAAATCCAAAAGGTAACACAGTTATCAACTCCTGAGTGCAAAACAGGTTAGTTTTCAATATCATGTTATGGAAATGGAATCTATATCACTATAAATATCTGTTACCAAATGTTCTCATTGTTAGGAACATGTGAAAATTCAGTATATGTGCCATTATTATTATATATGTATGTTTTGCTAAGGTGTAGTTGACAGCATTGACTCTCCATATTTAGAATATACAATTTGAATGGTTTCTTATATGTCTACATCTGTGAAAGCACTTGTTCATTGTATTAGTTACACTCCTTGTTACTGTGACAAAATACCTGACAAAGGCAGCTTAAGGAAGGAAGGGTTTATTTTGATCCACAGTTAGGGGTACAGTTCATCATGGCAGGGAAAGCAGGGTGGCAAAAATAGAGGGTGGACGGTCACTTCATCCTCAGGAAGCAGAGAGATAAAAGCTGCTACTTAGCTCAATTTCTTCTTTTTATTCAGTCCAGGACCCCAACCCCTGGAATAGTGCATCCACATTCAGGATGGATCTTCCTTCTTCAGTTAAGCCATTCTGGAAACACCCTCATAGCATATCCAGACTTGTGTTTTGATGGCGATTCTAAATCTTATCAAGTTGACAATGAAGATTAATCATCACATTCATCTTATGTTCATGATAGTGAATATATCTCTCACCTCAAAGTTTTTTTGTAACATTATTTTTGTTTTGTTTTAAAATTTATTTTTATTATGTGTATGAGTATATTGCTTGCATGTATGTGAGTGCACTCATGTCGTGCGATGCCAAGGAGGTCAGAAGAGGGCTTCGGATTGCCCTGGAACTGGAGTCAAGGACAGTTCGTAGCCGCCATATGGGCGCTGGGAATTGAACCCAGGTCCTCTGCAAGAGCATTATTTTTAATAGAAATTCAGATTAAAGTAATAATTCTTAATGTACTTATCTTTTATATATAAGGGAATTGTTTATGATTGCCCTTATGGCACATGTCGAAACTCTCGTGGTCCTTGCTAGTAGTGGTCAAACTATACAAAGAATACATCAAACTGGGAAAACAAGAAATTCTACTTTCATAGTGATTAACATGTCAACTTTGATCCAGAGCGCTTGAATTTATAAGTAGCTTTATTCCTTGGCAAATGAGTCGATTTTAATATGACTTGGTTTTCCAATATGTAAAATGAGAAAGCAGTAGTTCTTATCTCACAGGTTATTGTGAGAACTGGAAGAATTAATACCTGAAAGTGCTTCACTGTCATACCTGGTATACTCTCCATTGTTAACTGTGACTCCACTAATATCATTAGTGATCGTTCCTGGCTGTCCTGAAATGTATTCATATCAGCAATTTTTGGCCAAGAAAGAGTAGAGACAGTATGAGAAATTGCCACTTTCAATTTCAAGACATTAAATTGATGCATTCACTCATTCCTCAAATATTTTTGAGCTCTGGCTATACCAAGCATAGGCAATAACAGTGGTAAGCAAGTTGCACAGCTCCTGCCTTTGTGGAGTAGAGCTATAGTTATTACAAAGTATAACATAGGCTATGATAAGCGATTACATAATCTTATGGGAACAGAGAACAAGAGCAATGAGGTGCTGTGTTTTGATCAGGCCCCCTACTTTTATGGTTATGGGCTGATCATTAGAATGACAGCATAATTTGTGATACTCATTAACTTCCAATGTTAGAGTAACAAGAGCTCTATAGAAATGAATTTTTTTATAACATGAGTTATCTCAGTTTTAACTAAATCCAAAGGTTAACAATATTTTTCATATGTTCTTTATGAATTACTATCAGAGGTATAGTTTAGAATGAAGTGCAAGGATTATATTTACTCAGTTTTATGGTGGTCTGATTCCTGTGCATGTATTTCATTGTAGCGTAGACTGGGCATCACTAAGTGTGCTCAAACTATATTAAGAGTTTTCTAGTGAAACTCATCTTTTTCTTAAAATGACTGTATCAGGCTTTCGAAAAGCCGTAATTTAGAAATAACCACATAGCATATTCAGAAGCCAACATTTATAAATAACTACCCAGTGTATTCATGTTTGCTTGGATTTGAGTCAGAAAATTAGGCCAAAATTCCAAAGAAACATGTTTGATTGTTTTATAGAACATAAAGTTTCTTATAGGTTGTATATAAACTTAAATGTTTTAGACTGATTGTTTAAGCTTACTTAATAAAACAATGCAGGGACTGGAAAGATGGCTTAGTGGTTAAGAACACTGTTCTTGCTGGGTTCAATTCCCAGCACCCATATGGCAGCTAACAACTGTCCATAACTCCAGTTCCAGGGGATCCGACAGCCTCTTCTGTCCTCCTCCATGGGGATTACACGACATGGGTGTACTTTCATACATGCAGGCATAACACTCATACACATAAAATAAAAATAATAAAATATTTTAAAAAAATAAATGAAACAATGCAGATGCATTTCTAAAGTAAATGGGTAGGAGATGGCTCAGTGGGTAAAAGTGCTGCCACATGACTGTGAGGACCTGAGTTCAAATCCCCAGAAGTCACATAAAAAGTAGACAGTAGCATTAGTGTGTGTAATCCCAGTGTTCTTATAAGGACATGGGAGGTGGAAACAACTGAATACCTGAAAGCTCCAGACCAGCTATCCTCACATATGCAACAGAAAAACAACCAAGAGCCCTGTCTCAAGGTGGAAGATGAGGACAAACACTTGAGGTTGTCCTCTGATCTTCACATAGCCACCTGGAATTTATACACCTACATTCACTCACACAAGTGTGTGTGTGTCACGTGCGCATGCACACGCAAACAGTACATATTAACCATTTTGTAGTTGATATTTCCACTTAAAATTTTAAATTAAACCCCTTTAGAAGAAACCCTTCATGGAATATATTTTGATACACTAGAACAGCATAGAGAGCTGGAAAAAACAAAACTATTCTGACAGATAAAAAAATGGTCAACTGTAAACCAAGGGGAGATCCCAATAGAAATCAACCTTCAAAGAACGTGGATTCTTGTACTTATAGCTTCCAGAATCATTAGAAAACATTTTTAAATTTATTTAATAACCACATGATTAGAAGAAGCATTTCATTACAGCTTTAACATATTCAATAACAATTTCCAGAGCAAACATACATCTCTTTCAAAATGGGCTGTAAATTTTTAGGTTTACAGTTGAATTAATACAGTTATGCAATGCTGTACTCAGTATAAACCCTATAAGACATAACATTAAATGAGGTTTTAACCTTTAAAAAAGATCTCCATTTCATTATTAAAAGACACAGTTTCGTACATAAAAATTCATTTTTAATGCAATTGACATTAAAATGTTTGCACATGCGTTTTTAATCTCTATGTATCTGGTTAGGTAGTCATAGTCGGTTACTTTCTGAGCTCCTTGGCATCTGAGCATGGATATAAAGTCTCCAGGTAAATTTCAGTGGTAATGTTTTTCACATCTACTAATTATTAAGGAGCAAATTTTTATGCTTTGAAGAATTACTATTTTATCATTTAAAAAAATTTTTAATAACTGCATGATTAGAAGCATTTCACTACAGCTTTAACATATTCAGTAACATATTCCAGAGCAAGTGTATTTCTCTTTCACAAGTGGGTGCAAGTTTCTTGGTTCACGGTTGAATTAATACAGTTATACAATATTGAACTCAGTATAAGCCCTGTAAGACATAAAATTGAATGAGTTTTTAACCTTTAAAAAAGATCTCCATTTCATTTTAGAATAT